GAGAGAGAGAGAGAGAGAGAGAGAGAGAGAGAGAGAGAGAGGACTTAGTTGGTAAAGTGCTCGCTCTGCAAGCATGAAGACGACGCGTTCAGATTCCCAGCGCCCGTGTAAAAGCCGTGTGCCACGGTGTGCTCCTGAAACATCAGCGCTGTGTGGCGTGGGATGGTGAGAGGTGGTAGAGGGGCAGAGACAGGCACATCTTCAGAGCTTGCTAGGCAGCCAGCTTAGCCAGCCAGTGAGCTCCAGGCTCAATGAGAGACCCTGCCTCAAAAGGTAAGGGAAGAAAGATAGAGGAGGATGCTGTATGTCAAATTCTGGTCTCTATACATATGCACACACATATAAACACCTGCCTGTAACACACATACACACCAAGAGAAAGAGACACAGTGACTGAGACATAACATACACAATGGGAGGGACAGGACAGACATACAGACCAATACTTACTAGTTCAGCCTGGCCTGGAGCTTTGTATGTTGTTGAGGGTGACCTTGAGTTTCTGATTCTCATTTCTCTACCTCTGGAGTGCTGGTAATTAAACCCAGGGTTTCATACAGGCTAGGCAAGCACTCTACTGATCTACTCTCCCAGCCCAAGTTTATATTATTTAAGCACACAGAGAAGAAATTTTGCTAAGCCAAATTTGCTAAGTAAATTTGTTTGTTTACTCCTGCTATTGATAATACTTAGGCACTATTAACATGCTTCTTTTTTCTCTTATGACCACATTATTGAGTTCTTCTTTCCCTGTGATAGCATTAGCACCAGATGATCTTTACAGAAACAGACAAGATTTTCAGGGAAAGTTGCAAGTATGTGGAAGTTCAGAGTATGTGCTGGTGGACATTCACGTCTTAAGTAATGATCACATGTACCATGTTCTTCCATGCATCATTACTTCCAGTTTGATGGGTTGGGAGGAGTTAAAAAGTATTTTAAAGCACATCCCAAACATCACATTATTTACTCGTCAGTGTTTCACTATAATTAAAAACCCCTAGTTCCCCAACACACACTCATTTTGATTTATCACATTTAGCAAAATAGAAATTCCTTAGTAACTTCTCCTAATGTGTTCAAATTTACCTAAATGTGCCTAAACCATCTTTCTATAGTTTCCTTCTTCAGGATCTAAATGAAGCCTATACACAGTGGTCAATATATATTTTATGTTCACCAGCAACACCCCTTCTTTATTAATTGATCAAATTGTGTCTTTTTTTTTTGTCCTATAGAATTTGTCACATATACATTCATCTTGTGTTATTTAGCCTGCTTTTAACTCTTCCTTATAACTGGTAGTTAAATTTTGAACTTGATTAGACTTAGGATTATCTTTTTTGGTGAGAATACTTCATGGGTGGTCCTCTGTGCTTCTTATTTATCATTTTAGCACCTCAGAGCACAAAGTATCTGTCCCAAAGTGGATCTTTTTTTAATAGTATATACTTGCTAGACTATTTCCTTTAATTTATCTCCAAGAAGGAAGAAAAGAAAAAATATAAATGTCACTACTTCCCAAGTTTACTTAAGAAATTGTGCGGGTTTTTTTTTTTTGTTTGTTTTTTTAAATGCCCATAGGGTATTTCTCACTCAGAGCAGAGTAGAATGTTCTTGGCCTCTGTCTCTTCTTTGTTCTTTTCCCTTCCAACTTTTACCCCTCTATCCAACATTTATTGAATCTACAGTGTACAAAGTGATCTGACTGAGGCGGAGGATTAAACTGAGCAAATAGCCCCAGCCTTTTGGTCCTTAGGGTGTTCTAGGGGAGATGGAGCAGGCTCGGGCAGGGACAGCAGCAGAATGTGGCAGGCTGAGAGATCTGGAGCACACAAGGGAGGGCCTGTAACCCCTCTGAAGGAGAGGCAGCAGCTGTCTGAGGAGAGTGCCTGGGACCCTCAGGGCAGCTGGGTTCTGACAGCTAACATCAGAGTGAGGAGCAGGAGCAGTTACACGTGCTGACAGCGCATGTGGACAGCCTGCCCAGCGGACCACACTACCCTGGCCACTGCTTGGGTCACATTGTCCGCGCAGGCCTGAGGTCTTTTCTGCCCCTCCCAAGACTTCACAACTCTCCTTGGCATGCAGAAGCTCTTGAGAGTCTTGTCTTCACTTGGGCCACAGCTAGCCATCCCACTCGATTTATTGTTTGGTTGTTGGTTTTTGAGCAAAGTCTTACTATGTAGCACAGGCTAGCCTCAAGCTCAGAATCCTGCCCAGCCTTCCTCCCAGTGCTAGGGTTACAAGCTTGTGTCATCATGTCCAGCCTGGAGGTTGAATTAATTAATTAATTAATTCATTAATTAATTAATTTCAAGACAGGGTTTCTCTGTATAACAGCCCTGACTGTCCTGGAATTTGCTTTGTAGCCCAGGCTGGCCTCGACTCACAGAGATCCACCTGGCTCTGCCTCCCGAGTGCTGGGATTAAAGGCGTGCGCCACCACCGCCTGGCGAGTTTGAATTTTTGACACAACCTTGTTTCTCCTTTTACTGTTTTGAAATACGATATTTTTAGTTATTTTTTAGGAATTTCACATATGTATACAATGTATATTGATCATATCCACCACCACCCCATTCCTACTGGGCTTCCCTTGCACACAAACCCCGGCCCCTCCTTTTAAGAACTGTAACTTTTAATTTTCTGTCCTGAGCTATCCTATGTTTCTGTATCTTTCTTTTTAAATGTGTGTGTACATGTGCATGCACGTAGCACACTTACAGCAGCAGAGAAGAATTTAGGGGTTTGGTTCTCTACCTTGTTTGAGTCAGGGTCTCTCTTGTTTCTGGCACACACTATACTCTAGCTGGCCCAGAAACTTCTGGGCGATTCTCGTGTCCCCACCTTCCACCTTGCTGTGCACACCGCCACACCTGGCCTTTTGTGTGGGTTCCAAGTTTAGACACCAGGCTTGTGCAGCAAGTTCTTAGCTCACTCAGCTGTCCCCATCACCCAGTGCTTGTCCGTGTTTTAATCTGACATCCCGACAGCATAATTTCAAAAAACAGCCAAGAATTCTCAACCTTCTCCAACCTGTTTCTTTTGTATCTCTGTCAAGGTAGCACCAAGTGATTCCTTAAGCCAAAGCTTTGCTTCCTTTTCCTTTGAGCTTCCCATCTACTCCCTCCTCGCCTTCCCCGACTCCCCAGCAAAGCCGCTGCAGCCTCATTCTTGGACGGCCCTTTAGCGTCCTGACCGGTTCCAGCTTCTGCTCTTGCTCCCCCTGCAGCTGCTTCCGTCAGCAGGCCACCCCATGTGTCTCTGCTGTGCTCACTGGGGATAAACTCCACATTTCTTGGGTACTTTTAAAACAGGACCATGATGTGACTACACGGTTGAAACATTTGCATTCTGTCTCATCAGTTTTGCTCACAGTGTGTGTGTACTTCCGCCTCCATGAGCCCCTTACAGTTTGCCTTCTGCTGCCCTCTGATCAGCTGTGGAGGGAGGAGGGGGCAGGGGGGAGAGAGAGAGAGAGAGAGAGTTGTGTGTGTGGTGTAGTCTTTTGTGCATTGAATTAATTTCCCTATTCCTGAGGTGTTTTTTGTCTTAGAATAACATTAGCTGGGTATAATCATATTTAATCAATAGAACCTTTTTTAAAAAATTAAAGAAGAAAATAATATTTACTGATCAAAAGAACTGTGCTCTCTGGCCAGCAGGGTGACTGTTAGCTGTATGTGGCCTCGAAACTGTAAATTCATTAACATGATATAAAATAGGCTATGGCAGAGTTACTCTGGTTGTTTTTCATGCCACATAGCCAAGGTGGCAAGTGGCTCCAGTGATGGACACTATGTTCCATTTCTCTGTTTCTGTAAATGTGCCGCAGAACATTGCTTCACTGCAGAGCATTCTGTGGGACAGCTCTGCTGTATGTCTTATGGACTGGGGGGTTTCGTATATACCATTTGTGAGGACTATGGTTCTTATTAACCAGAACTTTTATTTAAAGTTTTTCATAAGACTATAACAAAAACACTAAAATTTGTGTGAACACCATGCTGCGGGTATCTGCTTATATCAAAGAATAAGTGTGATGAAATGCAGGTCTTTTTGTGAGGAACAGGGGCTACTCACTGTGTTAGGACAGAGCACACCATCAGCTTTGTTGAAAAAGCCTAATGTGCTTTTCATTTTTGTTTCAGATGATCCTGTACATGCAGCTCCAACCACTTCCACGCGTGTGTTTTATATCAGTGTAGGGGTTTGCTGTGCAGTAATATTTCTTGTAGCAATAATATTAGCCGTTTTGCACCTTCATAGTATGAAAAGGATTGAACTGGATGACAGGTATTGTACATGTTTTGGGAAAGGAAAAAAAATAAAGTCAGTTGCTTGCATATGCATGAGTGCCCCCACCCCCCATCCATGCACACTGATGCAGGGGAGGAGGGGGGAGGATGGCCCAGCCACAGCCAAAGAGGAGATAAGATGCCTTGGTTACTGTCTTTATGTTTGTCTTTTTATCTTTTAAATTTTGTGGAGTTATAACCTGGGGAGAAGTAGGGGCAAATGGTTTACATCTTCATTATCCTGACTTGCCTCCAGACTCCAATTGCCTTTTGAAACTGCTCTTTTCCTTCCTTCTAGATCCCCCCAACCCCCTCCCTCTGTCCCTCCCTCCCACCTGCCTTCCCTCCCCACCCCACCCCCACTTGAGTATCTGCTGTGCTTTAAAATTTTTTGGATGATCCTAATGTATAGCAAAGTAGAGATACCCTGAATAGATAATCACACTAAGTGTTGGGATTACAAAGATTAATGATACACTTCATGGTATCAAGGTTCTTTGATGTTAGCCCATAATTACAGTATAGAGTTGATGATTGTGATATGTATAATGTAGTGTGGGAATGCAGAAGGTGCCTGCCTAACCTGGGTGAGTCAGCGATGACACTGTAGCAGAATGCAATGAGAGGTAAAGATGGAATGGTAGATGTGTGCTCACAACCCACAATCCTTAGTGACTCCTACGCACCAACTGAAGACATTCTCAGCATTGTATTTGACTTTGAACTTTGAACCCTTTCTACCTCTCTTACTGAATCCTTAGTTGTGCTTTGTTGGCTGATTCCTTATCCCTCATTCTGTGCCCTGCACCTTGCCCTTCAGAGCATTTGTTCATACTGGAGCCATGGGGATTTTCCACCAATCCAATCCCACAATTCATACTCCAGATCCATCACCATCCTTCCCACAAGAATGTAAGCTTTTTCCAGGCAGAGAGCAGTGTCTTCTCTCGCTAAATGCCCAGTCCTAACACTGTATGGTAGAGCTGTGTGGTAGACATTCCTCCAGAAAGGTCGGGGAGCAGGTGGGAGTCAGTACTCCTAAGCACTTTGTCTACATTGTGTTCCTTCCCTTCCTTGAGTAGGGGAAGAAGAGAAGTGATGGGGATGCAATGGGACGTGTGCAGGTGCTCTAGTTGGCTTTTCTGTTGCCATGGTAAAACACTGATCAAAACCAACTTAGAGGAGGAAAGGCTTTATTTCATTTTACACTTTGAGGTCACAGTCTGTCACTAAGGGAAATCAAGGCAGGAACCTGGGCCAGAAACTGGAGGATGGATGGTAACTGCCTTGCTTTCTTGCTCCTGTCCACTTAACTTCCTTATACACCCCAGGCCCACTTGCCTGGGGTGATGCTCACAGTAGGCTGGACCCTCTCACATCCGTCATTAGTTTCCTCATCTGCATAGCCACAGGCCCATCTGATTGGGCAGTTCTCAGTTGAGACTCCTTCATATGACTCCAGGCTACGTCAGGTTGACAGCTAGCTAACTGGATTATGGATGCTATGTTTCAGAGTGTTTGGTGTACACTGTGATAATTGAGTTCATTGATTTAACAGGATGAACTGTCATTTGGAAGCAGTTGAGGAGATAAAAGTGTTAAACATTTTGTAGACACTTTTGAGAGATGATATAAGTGACAGGAGTCACTGAAGAGCAGGATTGTCATAAGTCATATTTTAAGGGTGGGGTTGTGTGTTTGTGTGTGTGTGTGTGTGTGTGTATGTATGTGTATGTATGTATGTATGTATGTGTGTGTATGTGTGTGTGTATGTATGTATGTGTGTGTGTATGTGTGTGTGTGTATGTATGTATGTGTGTGTGTGTGTGTGTTTGTGTTTTAAGGCAGTGTCTCATAGAACACGGGCTGGTCTTGGTCTTGAACTGTTGATCTTCCTGCCTCCACTTCCTAACAGGCACAGATCTGTCCTGATGCCCATAGACTTGCATTCCTTGGCTGTGAGTATGTGTGTTAAGGCCACGAATTCACACAGGCCTGAGTTGTCTGTAACTTTTAGATTCCGTGAAACACACATGTCTTCCTGCTAAGTCATCACTACACGAGCAGGAGCTTCAAACTCTAGGTTTCTAGATCCGGTCTGAATAAAAGCAGTTTATATTATTACTTATTTTCAGGGCACAGCTTGGTAGTTCAGAGCCTCTCCTCTGGGGCCAGGCCATCTGTATCTGAAGTCCAGCTCTTCTGTTACTAGCCTCTCAGCCTCCTCCCCTGTAAAGCAGAGATTGTGGGGTTTGAAGAAGTGACAGGAGAGGGTAGGAGGTCTCAGCCCTACATGCACAAGTGCCTCCGCGAGATTTCATTCTCAGGAAGGTGCAGTGTGCTAATCATGGCTTCTTTACTACTCCCTCTCCCCTGCAGTTACACACACCAGGTGAGCTGACGGCGGTGACCAGGTTCCTACGCAGTGCTCTGACAGCACCGGAGAGACATCTGCTCTCCTCTCTGCATAGAGTCCTCCTGCTAATTGTGCAGTCTATTGCGACTTGTGGAGTTTCTGTTGCTGTGACAGAACACCGTGACCAGAAGAATTTGGGCAGGAAAGGGTTTATTTTAATTAGTAACTCTCAGATCACACTCAATCACAGAGGGAAGTCAGGGCAGGAACTGATGTAGAAACCATGCAGGAAAGAGAGCTGCTTACTGGCTTGCTCAGCCTAAAGTTCAGGGATGGCACCACCCACGGTGAGCTGGGCCCTCCCACGTGCTCGTTAATCAGGAAAATGCTTCACAGGCTTGCTACAGGCCAGACTGATGGGAGCATTTTCTCAACTGACTTCTCTCTTCTGAAACAACTCTAGCTTGACAAAAAACTATCCAGGACACTCAGCAGCTCTTTTGACTGAAGAAGGAATAGAAGAGGAAAAGTCAACTTACTACACCAAATAATCCCATTTTCACCATGTATCAGGAGCTCATGTCAGAAGCAAGCATTCTACCTGGCTTATGTCTTCCCACTCCATGAGTGTGGCTTCTCTTTCACCGGGTAGTTAACCGACAGTATTTTGGGTTCTCATAGGGGCCCATTTGGTCATACTGTGCTAGGCACTGGTGTAGGTGTTGGAGAGAGCAGGGTGAACAGGCACTTAGCTGTCCCCGTAGAGTTTGTAGTCTGCCTCGATGAGACATTCAGCAAGAAGTCCCAACTGTATGTAACATAGGGTGGGAAACCACATAGTGTTCACTGCTGTGTCCTCAGCAGCCAGAGCAGCACCTGTCACCTGATAGACACTCGATAAATTGAATAAATGAATGACTCACTGAAAACAGAGTGAGAATTTAGTATTTTGAAGATCTTTGTCTACATTCTTAGCTTACTTGCTTATGAAAATCAAATTTATTTAGTCTAGTTAGTCTAGTCTTTAAACTATTAAATGTTAGCAAATACACATTTCAATCTGTTTTCTACCACCCACGTGTGATGTTGCTATGAAGGTGTGGGCTTTAATGGGTGTCCAGGGCAGGTCTCTTACTGTACCTTGCTTTTCTCATAATAGTACGTTTTGGGATCCAAAGAAAGTTTCTTTCTCCACCGTTGCTTTGCTCATTTCTTTCTTGGGCATTTCTGACATAGAAAACCCCAACCAAGGCTGCTTGACTGCTCACAGTCTTAAGCATTTTTAGGTGACCCAAGTGTGCCACCTACTGTTCAGTTGTTGAAGTTTATTCAGCCATCCGTACGGTTGCTTGCAGGGCATATTTGTTGAGCTTTCACATGCATCATAAATTTGAGCCTCACAGAAATCTTGTGAGGTAGGTTTTCTTGCTCCATTTCTGTGGAAGAATTTCCTCATCTGCTTCCCCTTCGAGATGCAACCCTTCACTCCTGTACTGAATACTGAACCTCTAACAAATTTGACTTTTAGTGGGATTCTTGAGAAGTACCCAGCAAAAACATGTACCTTATAGGGTTTTATCATTGTAAGATTGGGGACGTGATGCATAATATTCCTCATGATAAAATAATAATAGTTTATTACTATCACTATTATTACTATTAGTGTGTCTGAGGGCTACACAGTGTCTTCAGTGCCGTACTTACCCATCTTCCATGGAACCCTTTTAGCAGTCTTGTTGGGAGTAGCTTTATGTTCCTTCCATCCCTAAAGAGTTTGAGGCTCCAGAAGGATTGAATAGTTTGCCTAAGCCGTGCAGCTGGTGGTGTTGGCAATTATGATTTAAAGGTTTATGTTCTCCATTTGCTTATGACCAACAACATATGTAAACTCACATAAATCACTACTTAATAGCTTCCAGAACTCTGACCACACAATGTCCTGACAAATCTTTGTTCTATTCGCTGAGTTGAAAGTCCTTTCAGCAAAGTTGCTTGGAAACAAAGCTGATTGCAGGCTCACAGGAAGATGGTAATCTGAAATACGAGCATCGCCAGGGAAGGCATGCTGAGGGCCTCCTGTTAGACACATAGGCATTTTCAGATGGAGGATGTGCTGAGCTAAATGGCTTGTGTACGCAGATGCTCTCCAAATATTTATTTGAGGACACCCCATCTCAGTACTTTAGCCGAAGTAGTGGGTAATTCTAAATTGTACTGTTAGCGCCAGAAGGCTGCGTAGAGCTTACAGTGCTCATTGTGTGCATGTTTTATGTCTATGTCCTTCACGTGTATGTTTGGGCTCTTGAAACTGATAAAATAAAATTTATGTGTGAGTGTTCTAGATTATATGGCATTGATCACCTGTTTCCTTGTGATCACTAGGTTTTGAAACTGCAGTGATAAGGTACAAAGAGCAGTCAGTCCAAAGTCTGTTCATACATTGGATATTTGGAGCCTCTGCTGGGCTCCACTGCCTCTGTAGTTACAGGAGTCCTATCTGGCTATCTGGGTTTACTCTCTATGCTGAATCTCTCTATTTTACTTCCCCACGGCTACAAACCT